CAAGTTCTGCTGAAAGTGGTGTTCCATGTCCTTTTAAACTGATCTAAATTCTACTTCCTAGTTCTGTTGCTTTCCTCCACCTGTCTGCATCTTCTCCCTGCTGGTACTTGAGCACTGACAGCAAGCAGATGCCCCTCCTGGCACCTCTCCTGGCAGGTACTGGGATGCTAGCACAGGCTTGGGATAAAAGCAGCAACAAGCATTGGTGGAGTAATGAGGTTCAGAGGAGTGAAAGGACTGTCCATTTGACATCATTTTACACTTCTGCAGATCAGCACCTTCAGATCTGAGCTTCCGACAGGAGGCATGCACGTGTCCTGGTGCCAAAGCAGGGCTGGTTCTAGCAAGAAGTATTTTATTTAACTCTGGGACTTCTAGATCTCTATTGAGAAATGGACATTAGTGAGATGTCTTTTGAAATGAAACCAATAAAATTTACCTAATTACAGATAGAGGAAAACCTGCTGAAGGGAGGAGACCAAAACAAGCCCAATCTGCAGGCCCAGAGATGAATTCTGTATCTCACTCGCTTATCTTTAGTTATTTAATGAACAGCTCTGCAGGTGCCTGTCCCCCTTGGATAGGCCATATGTCAGGAAACATCAGCTAACCCTGTCCTAAAGGAAACTCTTCATCTCCTTTATTCCAAACAACCTGCAGCAGCCTGACAAAGGCCACAGCCAAGGCAACACAAATAAAAGGATATGTTTTGAAAGGCCATGGGCAAGCAAATCTGTTAGCTGTGGACCTTACATACACTAGATCTTTTCCTAGCTCCACAATGAAAATGCCTATGCTGGTTGTCCCCTTGGAGACCAGCCAGCTGAGATTTCTGAGCCTGCTCTGCAAAGTAAGATCTGCTGTTGGATGTGCCTTGCCCAGTGTTTCTGAGTTTGCTCTGGCACAGGCTTGTTGAAGATGGGCCAAACACATTTTCAGCTGGCTCTCTCGAAGGCCTGTATAAAGGAAATTCCTTCTCAGTTAAATAAAAGAGAGAAAAAAAAAGAAAAATAAAAAAAGAAGAAAAAAGGTGTGTTCTAGTCCCCAGCTCTAATTCTTATTCATTTTCCCCCCTCTCCCATCTCTGACATCTGCACCAAGAGTATGGGAGGTGCTGCCAGGTCAGTAGGGGGTGTCTGTGGTGTCGGTGGGTCCTGGGGAGGTGTCAGTGTCACACAAGCCACAAAGCAAAGGTCTCAGGTCTCCGAACCCTCCCCACCAGCCCAGGGCAGGGTGTGGGTTTGGCCGGCACGGTCAGGAGCGGCTCAGCACCAGATTCAGCTGCTGAGCCCTCGCCGCGGTGGAGAGGGACTGGGATGTGCTATCCCAATGCAGGGATCAGCTGTCTTGTGCGGGACATCCGCACTCATGGGGTTCTGAGCCACGACAAGAGCCCACAGAGGCAAGGGGAGGAGTTGTCCTGGGGCTCAGGGTCAGACCCTGCTCAGGTGTGACTGAAGAACCTGCAGAATGGGAAGAATTCAGAGGGGACATATTTGAGCCCTGATGCCATTCCGAGCTCTGCTTTCCCTCCCCCTGCCCCGTCCCCACCCCACCGATCGGCCTCTTTACCATGACAAAGAGCCCGGAGGAGCGGGCCGCGGTGGATATTGCGGGCCGGGGCAGGCAATGGCCGGCTATAAAGGCCTGTCTGCGCTCCGGGGCTGCCTCAGCTCGGTGGCGGGACCTGCCCCCAGGTGGAGGTGACAGCTGGCGTGAGGGGGACCCGCCCCTGCGGCCGTGCCCATGTGCGCGCACTTGGCGCTGCCGCCGTGCCCCGCGTACCCCGGCGGGGCCGCCCGGGGCCGCCTGGAGCTCGGCTGGAGCGCGGCGGGGGCCGCAGCACAGGCCCCCACAGCGGCCGGGCACTCTCCGCAGGCTGCGGGCGGGAGGCACACGGCAGGTAAGGCCTTCCAGCTACATCCTGGGGCTGACCCCCAGGATAACCCTGCTACCAGGTCAGGCTCAAACGACTTTGAGCGGATTTTTCTCTTTCCCTGCCTTGGTTTCCTAGTGCGTGACCTGGGCAGAGTGTGCTGGGGTAGGCAAGGAGGAGGGGTGACCTTGGCCAGTCACGCCACTCTTCCATGCTACTTTTCTTGGGTGGCTGCCAACCGGTTTCCTAAACCTCAAAGAGCCTGAAAGAGTCGAGGCGCACTGTCAGCTCTGTTCTCCAGGCTGAAGGGCAGTGTGACAACTTGGTCTTATGGAAGTTCGTGGTTCTTGGTGTGGGGATGTCTCGGCCTCCTTTTAGTTAAATGCTGTCATTTGTGCCGTAGAGGGAAACAGATCCTGGAGATACTTCTTGTGGCATCCTTCATCCTCTTACAAACTCCTTGCATTCTTTATGCACTTAATCAGCAGCCAAGGCCTGCTCTGAATCACTGGGTGCTGGAAGATCTACTCCTTTAAATGGTTACACTGCTTCTTTCATTTTGCCATTTCCATCTATTTCCCTCTTATTTCTGTGCTCTGGTTGCTTTGCCTTTCCCTTTTGAACCAAAAAGTCCCAGACGTCACCAGAGTGACATTTTCTGTTCCTGCCATTCCTCTCCCAGTCCAGTGAGGGGCAATAGAAGAGCTGATAAGAGCAGGTTTTCGCCCAGCCCCGAATTATGGTCAGCGGGGCAACACCCTAGCAAGGTAAATGGGTAGGAGGAGAGGTGGGTTTTGGGGTGCCACTTTCAAGCTGTGAGTTGCTGTGGAAAGCTCCAGGCTCAGGCAGAGTGCCTATGGCTACTCACATGTGGCTGCCTGCCGTGTAGCCTCTCTGCGTGCTGCCTGCCCAACAGAGGCAGCAGGCAAATGGACTCTGTGTGCCCCTGTTGGGTTTGGTACATAGCCTTTAACCCCATCTTCAAACACCCTCATGCCTCTCTCAGAGAGAACCCCTGTAGTGGAAGTCGAGGATTGCAGATGTCAAGGCCTTGAGGTGGTGGGTCTGTCACAGGCTTTCATATTCATGTCTGTTGCACTCTCATGTTCGTGTCTGTTGTTTGTGTTTCTTGCTTCCTGTCTCCTTTGCTCTCTTCTCATGGGAGAAGGAGCACTTTTGTCCTGAGCTCAAGCTGCACACGCTACATTTCATGGGGCTTTGGGATGACAGGTCACCTTTGGTTCTACAGTGTCTCGCTGTGGTTCCTGTCTAACAGGAGACTTCCCTGTTTTCCAGGCCCATGTTCCCAGCATACTCATTTCTTCCCTATAAGGTTTTTACTGCACAGCCTGCAGGAGCCAAGCATCCTGTGACACCACATGAAGTTTTAGCTTGCCATGCAGCCAGGTCACTGATGTTCAGCTTCCTCAAGGCTCTGCAGTCTAGCTCCATGCACTTAACACTGCAGGCCCTTGCACCTCTTCTGCTGACAGCCTCTTCCTGCTTGCAGACAGAATCCCTTTGCAATCCTCATGGCCCTGCTCCCCAGTGCTGGAAACCTGCCCCACCACACCCCTGGCTGTTCACCAGCCCCTGCTCTGGGTGCTGTTGTCTCCCAGGGATAGCAAATGGCCCAGAGCAGGCAAGCCTTGAGGGGCAGGCACCACAGAGACAGGAATGCCTCTGTCAGGAGAGTTACAAGGGGCGCACTACCACAGATGTGGCCACCTTTCTGAGGTCCAACAGGACTCCAAGGCTTTTCAGTGATTGCTTAGTAGACTCTCAGCTTAGAACAGAAGAGGGAAACGTTTTGTGGGATGGGTGGGAAGCCCATTCCTCCGGGGGACATCAGTGCTTTGCTCTGGACATGTGTTCTGGTGATTGAGGAGGGTGTCTCAGTGTCACAGCTCTCAGGGTGGCTGGTAAGAAGGTTGGGAGACATTGGTTGGGCTCAGTAGTCAGAAGGTGTGCACTGAAATGGCACTGCCCCATTCACTGCACTCCCAGTAGGAGGAGCGGGGTTGGACCATGCAGGACAGTTTGCAGAGGAGTAGCTGGAGGAAGGAGTGGTGGGCAGATTCATCACTGTAGTTGGGGAAAAGAGGAGTGACTGCTATCACAGCCCTTCAGTCAAGTTGGCCTGAGAAGGTCTCAGCCTCTCTCAGACCCCAATAATGTGGCATGTGACACATTTCTTATTCCTGCAGCCTAAATGACTTTGCATCTTAGCAGGTTTTGTCTTCACTAGGAGCCCAGATTGTTCAGGAAACTTTTCCCTTAGGTCTTTACCTCAACTTTGCCATCGACAGAGTTCCCTTAAGACATGTACCAGGACAAATTAGAAGGGGCTTGAATGCCTTCCTCTGCACTCTTGAATTTTGTCCCCTATGTCCCTGGTACAGGATTGCTGCCTCTTTTCACCCGTTTCACATACCCACCTTTCCTCTCCCTCTCCTTTTCCGTGTGAAATTTCTTTCCTTCATTCTTCTCTTGCCAAAAGCCCCTCTCAGACAAATAGCTCCTTCCACCGACAGTGTCTCCAGCAGTGGAACGGTCTGTGGTGGGAGACAAGGGCAAGCAGGACTGAGCCAATATCCAATGCCTGATGTTCTCCACCTGCTGCCCTCACTGTGAGCACTGGCTGCTCTGCCCCACTGTACAACCTGGTCAGAGGCTGTTTTGTCTCTATTGAGTGCCTTGGTATTGCTGGGCAGGCAGTTCTGGGGAGCCCAGCCAGCAACCCAGAGCTATGCTTGCAGTCATGACAAGGCCTTTTTACACCATAATCAGACTGAAATATTATTGAGGCCATCTGGAGGAGGAGAGTTCACTGTGAACCAATGTGCACCACACTTTTGCACTGTTCCCTACCCTGACTTTTCTGCCTGGCAGAAGGGAGTCATGAACATCCTAGAGGGGACTGAGCTGGGAAGCTGCTTGCTCTCAGTGTGCTTGTCTGTGCTCACAGCTCTGTGAAGAAAGGAGGGTCACACAAGCCTTTGCTTCTAAAAAGCTCCTGTCTGGTAGCCAAAGAGCTCTACAGCAGGCAGGGAGCATGCTCATACCCTTACAGCTAAACATTTTGTCTCTTAGACCTTTTCTCATTTTCTTTTTATTTATAGAAGTGTCCCCAGCTTCATCCAGTTCTGGGAATTTCAGCCAATTCACACCAGATTCAGCCACCAGTCCACATTCCTCATCCTCATCCCCACAGCCTTCAGCTAAGTCTCAGAAGGGCAGAGAATATGGCATGGAGGGGATCAGGAAGACCAAGAGCCGGACAGCTTTCTCCAAGGAGCAGCTGCTAACCCTGCACCAGCGCTTCCAGAGCCAGAAGTACCTCAGCCCCCAGCAGATCCGGGAGCTGGCTGTTGCCCTGGGGCTCACCTACAAGCAGGTGAGCACAGAGACTTTGACCCACAGTGTATCGATCTCACAGCGGCTGAGTGGTCACTTCAGGGAGTGCCAGGATGGAAAGATGAGTCCCCAGCAGGGACTGAGGCCAAGGTGCCAGCTGACAGTTGGTCCCCTGCTTATTCATGCCCAGACATCAGACGCAGTTTTGCAGATAGAGGGGTCAGTGGCACCTCCTTTGGGCCTCCCAAGTCGGGGGTCAGCCAAGGGTTCTGTTACCAACACCCATGGTAGAATTGCAAACCCAGTGATGAATATGTTATTCACCACAAACAGTCTCTACCCTGGGCTTTGCAGCACTTCACAGATTTTTTTCGTGTGCTGTGAACTTCTCAGAAACCCTGGCATGCATCTGTTCTCTGAATCACAGGGCTGCTGCAACATGCTGAAAGCTCTTGCTAGTGTCTCCTGGGTCTTATCTTGTCCAGTATCTAATGCCCCACACTCAGCACTGCCTGGCTGCTTGACATGTGCTCCCTCCTCCCCATGGGTGCTGCTAGGTTCACACATCACTGCCCTTTAGGGTCTCTGCTGATCTCCAGGTAGGTTGTGTGTAGTGACATGATGCTGCCTCCAATGATGCCTTCCTAAAGCAGAGGGGGGGGGCTGGGCAACGGGGCACAAGAGCTCCCAGTTACAAGTCCAAAATCTTCCTGAAATTTGAATCTCAGAGCTGGGCATGATGGTCGGGATGCCCTGGGACTAAAGAAGTTGTAGGTGCATTGTAAGTGCATGCACTGAACTGGTTCTGTCAGGAACAAGGCAGGTGGGACAGTCTGCTCTTTCCTTCAATCCACATCCCTGCAAAGGCTGCTTTCACAGTGCAGACACAGCCTGGGGGGAAATGGCCCTGGAATTCGCCTCAGCAAGCAGCTTTGAATTTGGGAACTGCTAGGGACAAGGAGCAGGTTTGTCCCTTCTCTGTTCCCAAACATACAGAAACAGCGTCTTAGAAGTTTGCCTGTAGTTCAAGGGGCTTGTAGAAGTGTCAGTGGATCTGATTTACACCAGTCATGCACGTCCATGTTCAGGATGAGTCCATTTATCCCAGCTATCCCTGTCTCTTGACACCGAGCCACCCCCTCCCCCATCACACAGTTGCAGTAGCCACCTGCTGAGGCTGCTAGACAGACTCTCCCCGTGGCAACACCCCCCAGGAGTTCCTAAAGGCTTTTATCTGCTGCTGCCCATGTATCTCTGCCATCTGGTCACTCCCTCTGGTTCTTCCTGCTTGTGAATTTGGTTACATTTGTTCTTCTCTCTCCTTTGCTGACATTTTCTTTGCTTTCCCTTCCCCTCCCAGGTGAAGACTTGGTTCCAGAACCGGAGGATGAAGCTGAAAAGGTGCCAGAAGCAGAGCCTGTGGAGCGAACGGGCTCAGTGTCTCACGCAAGTAAGAACACAGCGCGTGGCTCATCATGGCTCTTCTGTCTGGGCAGATCTGTCCCCTATTTCCTCCATGGGTGCAACTGAAACATAGGAGTGTGAGCGTACCCGGCCTTCTGGTTAGCTCAGCACAGAGGCACAGGCTGGGCACCACACCATGTGTACTGGTGGTAGCCCAGCAGTGGGCTGGCTGTACCACAGAAACGTTTCCAGGGAAAAGCTCTTTTCCTCTTACGTATATATAATTGTGTATCCACCCCTGAACTATGGGAATGGACATAGTTCTTCTTGCCCTCCATGCCATTGCTGCTGGTCAATATACAATAATGTGAAAGGACAGAGCCCCAGTACATGTCAGGCCTGTGGACACCAGTGGAGAAGCTCTGTGTTCTGACTCTCTGCCTTTCCCTTTCAGAGTGGCTTCCAGAGCGGAACTTACCTGGATGTGCACCCCAAATTCCACCAGGGCTACCCCATCACCACAGCTGGCAACATGCAAGCCATGCCTGCCCCCTGTCAGCACTATGGAGCAGGGCAGAACACTTACACAATCCTGACCAGCGAGGATGGAGGAGTCTTTGGCAAAGGCGGGGGAACCTGCAGTGTCCAGCAGACAGTGGGCTTCATTGCTCAGCACAAAGTAGACTTTTACCACAGCTATCCTGGCAGTGTGGAATATCCAGGCTCCAAGACAGGCGATGGCTGTAATTTTCACCACTCAGCCACCATGGGGGCTCCTTTCCCAACTGCTGCCAGCCATCATCTTTATCATTCCTAAGCACTGTGGATGTGGGGTACTTGGGCAGCCAGGAATCAAATCTTATTCTCATCTCTCCCTTTGTTATTCGTGTGCTGGCCACCTTAGGGACACCTTGTAGCTAAAACCTGTTTTGGCATCCAGATGTGTGCCTGCAGACATGCAGCTGTGCAGAGACCCAGACCCATTTGCCCAGGTACCTGCACACAGAACCCTTCATTTCTATGCTCTTACATGTGCACACACATATTACTTTCTTGATTGGCACAGACAACCAAGCTCTCTTATGGCAAAGCCCAAGATCTGCCTACACAGCTTATGCCCTGGATCTTCTTAATTATGGATTGTGTAACTTGTCTAAGGGGAAGCACAGATTCCTTTGGGAATCTCATTTCTATGTATCACTGTACAGTTGTGTGTACATAGCACATGATGCCAGGGGCTGTATGGAGAGGTGCTGGTTACTTACCTTTAATTTAAGTTGGAGAAGTTATTGCCACATGCCAGTTATCCATTTGAAGTGTAATCCATCAGTTGTGTATATCAGCCATGAGGTGAAGTGATAAGGTGTCTAATGAAGGGAGTTGTGACAAGTAGCTTGCAGAAAGGCTGGTAAGATGATTTTATAAGCCCTTCCTTCTAGTCTGTATCTTTCTGTGCCTCCCCCTGAGAAAGCCTAACAGTGCATTCAATTTGGCAAATAAAAAACAGTACTTTTAAAGCTGCATTATGTATTTTTATATATCTCTTTTTTCCCACTGCAATAGAGCATTGCAATATAAAAACCAGATGGAGCGTAAATAGCCATAGCAACTGTATGCCATTGTTATTTGATGCTGAAACTATAAACAGAAATTATTCTGTGTTATTAGTGGATCAGCTTCATGGCTCTTGGCAATGCCAGATATCTCAAGTCAAAGGAATAGGTGAGTAACTCACCCACCTTAAGAATTTTCCATATCCAGCAGTAGTAAATAGGGGGACTGTCACAGAGGTACTATAATTTCTAAACTTGTCCATGTAAGTGTCTAAGTACCTAAAACCAGATGTGTGTAGCAAAGTATATGCAATAACAGGCCTCCAGTTCCCTGAGTCACACACTTTATCACTTTGATGATGACAACGAATTTTTCTTAATGCAATGAAGTAGCTGCCATGGTTAAAGAAAAGAGCATGAAATGAAGGCAGTGATTTCTATGACTGGAGTAATAAGAGGCATGGAATTCTATTGGCAAAGCTGATTTATGTCCCTGTGCCTCACAGCTGTTTGTTCCCTCTCTCACTCCCTCATGCAGACACTGACTCTACTGTAAACTGTATGGTGTGCTGACTTTGGCTGTGTTCGTTAATTTTCTTCATAATATCTGGCGTGGGGCTGTGTTTTGGATTTGTGCTGAGAATGGAGTTGATAATACAGAGATGTTTTCATTATTGCTGAGCAGGGCTTGCACAGTGTCAAGGCCTTTTCTGCTTCTCATTATCTCCCTGACAGCAAGAAGGCTGGGGTTGCACAAGGAGTTAGGAGGAGACACAGCTGGGAAGACTGACCCCAACTGACCAAATGGATATTCCATTCCATACCATACGGCATTGGGGTCAGTGTAGAAAGCCGCGGGGAGGAAGAGGAGACATGCAGAACCGATGGTGTTTGTCTTTCTAAGGACATTACACAGGATGGGGCTCTGTTGTCCTGAAGGTGGCCTGCCTATGGGAAGGGGTGAATTAATTCCTTGTTTTGCGTTGTGTGTGAGTTCTTTGTGTGTGCGGCATTTGCTTTACCTATTAAATGGTTTTTATCTCAATCCACGAGTTTTCCCGCTTTTAGTCTTCTGATTCTCTCCCCCCATCCCAGTGATGGGGTGTGATCAAGTTGAGTGGCGGCATGGTGCTTATTTACTGCCTGGCATTGAACCACAACACGTGGCCAGCAGGATTTGGGAAAAGATAAAGCCTTTTGGATGGTGAGTCACGTAGTCTTGGCACAGCCCCCGCCCTCTCCTCTTGCAACCATCAAGCGGCTAAGGATGGGCAAGACTGTTCTTGAAACCAAGGGTGGGGAACAATTAAGTCGACTGAAAAGGTGCTGGCTAGCATGGGAGGGTGGACAATAGCGGCAATTATCAAGGCTCTCATACCAGAATGAAGATATTTTTCAGTTCTTCTCAAGCCGACAGTTCTGTTTACTTACCTGAATATAACCTAAAACCTTTCCATGCCAACCCATCAAAGGCCACTGTAAGTGAAAAAAGTTGAGCTTGCAGCACGTCCTCACAAATAATTCTCTGGCAAAGGAGCCACATGTCATGCCCTGCTCCTTCAGAGATGCTTTAGGAAAGGCAGGATTTTGCTGTGGAGGCTCTGGGACTGGCTTACAGAAAGCTGCTGTCTGTAAGAGCAACAGCTGCGATCTCCCTGCTATTGACCTTCAGCAAAGTAGTGCTAACAAACAGTGCCAAATCTTGCGGTTTCCTCAGAGACACAATTTTTCAGAGGTAACATCCACATATAGACCTTATTGCCACAGGTGGTTATGGAGTCCAAAAGCCTGCAGCAATTCCAAACGGGCAAGTAAGCAGCTCCCAGGGAGATCACTGATGTCTGCTGTATCAGGAGCTGCATTCCCAATGTTCTGTGTAAAAACAGCAGGAATGCAGCTACTGTTGGAGGGAGGACCTCAGTCCCAGCCAGCCAGAGGGACACTGGGGACTTAATTCCTTTTCTGGTCTTTCTCTAGTATCTAAGCAATGACTTTGCTGGATCTTGGGGCTCCCCCAAAGCAGAAGTCACAGTGTTGTAATTCGTAAAAGATTTAATGGCCTGGACACTCTCCAGCTGCTAGACAGCAGATGGACTTTTGTCAAGTATGAGAAATTAATTCTAACCTGGTTATGAAAGAGATTCTCAGATATGACCTGAGGGTACTCTTCAAAACTTTGGACAGCAGGAAGACTATATGACCCTCACAGGTTAGAAAGTTGTGGTTTCTTGGGTTTTTTGTTTTGGTGATTTGATGTTGGGCCGTTTTTTTTAGTTTCTTTTTTTTTTTTTTTCCCTTTTATTTTAATATCCAAGTGCAATGATTTAGAATAATTTATGCCTCATGACTATTCAGTATCAGCCAATATGCTGCTGCCCTCTGATGACGGGCCAGGCAAGAGACATGTGGCAATGCCTGACTGAAAATTTCCAAAACCCTGCTAGCTCAGCCTTCGGGTCATGTGGCGTAGTTAGATAGCTAAATATGCTTACATATGCCTCTAGGGAAGAGCCTATTAAAGCAAAGATCATTACTTTTATCTGCACTGGAGAGACAACGGGAGCTGTGAGCCCTTGCTCCTGGATCACTCAGAAGAAACATGTAGCTTGTGAAACCCCTGCAGGCCACACAGACATGGAGAGCAAGGAATGAGGTTGATTCCACTGCTCTTGGTATTTTCCCTGTGGGATAGCTGGAACTCAATGAACTACAGAATAAAATCCTGGTCTGCAACACCTGTACCAGAGCAAATTTCTTCTGTTTAGTCGGAGTTCTCTGCATCACTGGAACTACATCTGCAGCTTTTTTGTCACTGCAGATATTGTAAATGAGGAGTGCATTCCCACAAGCTGTAACATGCATGAAGAGCTCCAAATCATCTTACAGCTTATTCCTAAAAAGATTTGCTAGCAAGCAAATCATGTTTGCAGTGTGCAGAAGTCACTGTTACACAGCAGAGTCATGAGAAGCAGCAGTCCTAACAGAGATGTAATGCATCCTAGCAGAAAGCTTTTTCTGGCGTGCACTTTCTTCCTCTAAGGAACTAATACCAACACTTCTGCAAGGATGAGGCTGGAGGCACCTGCATCTCCACCAGTTTTGGTAGTAGTGCCCAATTACCTGTGCAGTTGTTTCACATGGTGATGTGATTCAGGCATGTGAAGGTAACCAAAGACTGAGTCCTGTTTTTTTAATTCCACAGGCTCTAGAAACACTTGCTGGGCAGCTGTGAGTCCTTTCCAGCCCACCTTTCATAACTCAAAGAACAGCTGCTCCGCATGCTCCCTCCAGCTACATGTGCTAGCCAAACCTGCATACAACCCAGGCTGAGCAATCAGGGGAATAACACAGCCACGAGGGAACACTCAATTTCCACAGAACACTCCCACAGTACATGGAGTAACAAACCACAACACGCAGAGCAATCATTTTCAGCCCCAGGGCTGTTTTAGCTACAATATCTGTTTTTGCAGAAAGACATCTGCCAGCAGAGTTCTGCCTATCTCCTTACCTTTGCAGCAGACACATGGAAATAAAACATACAGAGCAGCACAGGTAAACTGCAGCAGGCATCCTCTGCAGCTGTTTTGCAAAGATCTGTATATTACTTCTTTAAAGACTGCATTTTAAAAGAACCCCAAAATCATAAGCTGCTAATTCTAAAGCTGAAAGACAAGGCATAGTATGTATGACTTGTATGGGTAACTTTTATGGTTCACCTCTATTTTTTAAGTCAATTGTTTAAATTAATACTATTGCTAGAAAATTACCCAGAATTCATTCAACGTTACTGGGATATGAATCTCTCATCCAGATGAGAAAGGAGCTCTTGCTCTGTAATACAGAAAACCAGGTGAACGCAGCATTTCCCCCTCTTCCGGGCCAGATTAACCTTTTTCTCGTTTTAAGCTTGGCAGCCCAAACATATCAGTGACTCATTCTTTTGTCCTTCTCTATACAGGCTCAAGCCTCTGCTCCTCTCTCCTTCCTGTACCTTGCCTCGGGAGCAGAGGATTGCAGCATTGCAACAGGGAAAGAGGGGATATGCTCTTGTGCCCACACAAGCAGGGTCAGTTGAGCAAAGGACCTGCAGCAGTCTGAGCCTGAGCAGTCAGCTGCCGATTCAGTAATTGTTCTCAGTGGGAGTACCCATTGAATTACCCCTTTTGGACAGGTGAAGGGCTTCAGTGGTATAGGGTACTTTGAAGAACAAGGCATTAAACCTACCGACAATATCTGTTAGTTGGGAGTATGACTAAATAGCAACTTGGTTCTGGTTTTGTTGCAGCGCTGGAGGCAGGAGCTTTAGTTACTTAGTTGCAGACTTCTGTTGCCATTTGAGGTCAGCGCAAGAACCCCAACAAAGCTGCATATTTAATTAAGCAGGATTCCAGACGTCCAGTTGCGACCTTCTGGAGCACCAGCCGGAGGCCGCACAATCTCCAGGGCACTTTCTTTTGCTCCATCCTTCCTCAATGCTTTTTTTTTGAAGCACTACTGCTGTTTAAGGGCTGATATATGCACGTTTCAGGGCTGCACATCACTTTAAGCCAGCAGCTTGTCCAGTCGCCTGGCCCTGGAGCCTCCCCCACCCTCCTTGCAGCAGGTTACACACCTGCATATTAAAAACAGGCTGACAGACTTTTGTGACTTGCTTCTTTTAAACAATTACCTGATCCCACCTCTGGGAGAAACACGGTAGGGTTATTTTCCCCCTCCCTTTCCTCAGTACTGTAGCACAACCACTCTCATAGCCAGCTGTTCAAATGCAAGCTTGGTGACAGCATCACAGTATTAAAATAAAGTAATTTATTTTCAAGTCAAACAACTTTGTAAGAACATTAACATTAAGAACATTGAACATTAACCAGAAAAACCAATAAAACACAACATGAATAACATAAAACATGCTTGGTAACACTGTAAAAAACAAACTTAATGGAAAATTATTCAGCAACAACAAACATTCACCTTCTTTGCAGTAGAAGCTCTGCTGCAAGACACACAGGGCAAGGATCAGAGATCACCTGCTAGAGAGGCAGCAAAGAAGGTGAGACTTGAACAACAAACAGACCTTAACAACCTCTGCTGTTCACAGCTACAACATTGCACACTGGCCTCAACGAATGAGGTTAAAACTCATCAATACCCAAAGCATCTTTGCCAAGGGTTAGCTGTGAACAGACAGGCACACTTAAATAGGAAACTAGCTCCAGGCAGCAGGGTGCTGAGCCCCCCCATTAGAAAAAACACCACTAGTGGAGGGGCAAGAACAACAAATCGAACATGACTTCAAAACCCTGGAAATCCCATGGGTGAACACAAGAGGTGGGAGAAAAAAATACTCAAACCTGAGACTCATACCCACTCTGGGTCCCCATGGGATGCCAAGGTAACTGGCATTGATTCTGTATAGGAGAGCTCGAAAATGGTGCGACAGTGTCAGAGGAGCTCTGGAAGTTGAAGGTGTCTTCAACCTCCACGCTGACATAATCTATATTGTCAAAGTAGCTGTGATAGAAGTTCATTTGGTGGCTTAATAAACCCATGGTTTGCTGGGTATTGCAGCTCGTCCCACCTTTTCCAAAGAGCCCCTCATCCTCCACAGAGGGGAACGAGTACAGGTTCTGCCCATTTCCGTACGTCTGTCCGCTGCTGTAAGCCTGGTGCCCGTTGGACGCGGCCTGGAAGTTCCTGCTGGAACCGGCAGGGAAGACCTGGTGGAACGCGGGGGGGATATCCAGGTATGCAGCCTGATGAACCCCATTCTAGGAGACAAAGAAAGTCGTTCAGCAGTGCAGAACCACACCAACGGCCCATTCTTTCGGATGGGTCCTCATTTCTCCCCCAGCCCCCCCTCCAAGCCGAACAATAGCGCCTTTTTCAGGCCCATTGTCCTCCCAAGAGACCAGTAATAGCAGAGATGACCGGTTAGTAATCTGCAGCTCAACATGTGCAGGAACAACTGCGCTCGGGGCGGGGCGGGGGGGGACCAGCTTGAAAGAGATGCCATTGTAAGCCCTGTTACGAGGAATACAACTGGCTCGGTAATATTGAGTCCTGTGGCTCGTTTGAATTACCAGGTTGGGCATGATACACTTCTCCCCGCAGACTGGAGGAGCCATGACTGGTGGTGATAGGGGAGTTTACTCACCTGTGGTAAATACACCCCTTTATCCATCCACTGGCTCTCCTTTTGGCAACGCTTAAATTTCATCCGTTGATTCTGAAACCATGTTTTCACCTAAAAGTGATGCAGAAAGGACATAAATTACAAATGAATTTTAAAAAGCTTGCTACACATCCTTACTTCTGTTACAATCCCGTTTCTGACTTCTAATACTGTAAATAATTTCAGCAGATAACGTGCAGCAGATGCAGGTGGCTGTAAAATCACAGAGCTGAGACATGGAAACTAAGATTCCTATTCCTTAGATCACCACTGGATCTTTCCCGACTTCAAAATCCCTGCCTAAAACACCGGCTAAGGCAACTGCAGGATTCAGGTTGTCGAGCACCGTCTCATTGCTGTGCCATGGTCAGGGCTCAGGAGCCAGTCGCTCCTTTAGTCACACACAGGCAGCTGCTGAGGCAAGGACCCTTCCTTCCTCTAGGGAGAGCCCACGGTGCCACTCCGGCCAGGAAAGGCCACTTGCATAGCAGCGCAGGTCTTTCTACACTCAGAGATAACACATGTCCATGCAGAACACGAACCTGACTCTGCACAGCCCTTCTCCGCTGCTCTGCAGGGCCTTCCAAGCACCCGCACGCAGTGGGTGGATAGTGCTGGAACCAAACGTAACACTGAGTCATGGATTTTCACACCCTCTGCTCTCTCACGTAAGAGGCAACACTTGCAAGATAATGAAAGTAACTTCTCTCTGGGGTCCAAGAAAAACGAAAACCACACACCAAAAAAACCCCCACCAAAAAAAAAAAAAAAAAAAAAGACCCCAGATCAGGTGCTGCTCAAAGCAAGAATCAGGTGCTGCTCAAAGCAAGATGTTCACCTGCTTGTAGGTGAGCTGAAGGGCAGCGGCCAGCTCCCGGATCTGCTGGGGGCTGAGGTACTTCTGGCTCTGGAAGCGCTGGTGCAGGGCTTTCAGCTGCTCCTGCGAGAAGGCTGTGCGGCTCTTGCCCGACTTCACCGCACCTTTGCCTTGCGCCTTGGCCTTCTGCAGGGAGGAGTGGGGAGAGGGGCTCCCCGCTGCCGTGGGGCTGGTGGCGGAGTCGGGGGTGTGGTACTGCGTGAGCGTCCCGGAGCTGGAGGAAGCTGGAGAGTCAACTGAAGAGAAAAGACAACTGCGGTGAACAAAATAACTCAGGCAAGACTCACAACACCTTGCAAGTTCAGTTTATCGGGAGAATTCGAGATTGCGGGTGCCCTGGGGACCCGCCGGGGCTGGTAGCCGTGGGCAGCAGGCCACAGGTCGCCTCATGGCAGCGGAACCGCTGCGCCCCTGTGGCCCGTGCCGTGTGGGCAGAGGGCCCCGCTGGCACCCGGCTCCCGCCCGCAGCACTGGCATCGCCTCCCAGACCCGGGGCTCACGGCCAGGCCAGGCCAGGGCAGCCCGACGGCTCGGCCCGCCACGTACCTGAGGGACTGGGCGTCTTGGCCGCGGGCAGCGGGAGCGCGTCCAGCCCCGGAGCCTCCTCGGTGGGCACGCTGTCCATGCTGCCTGCGGAGAACCAGTAATAGTCGCCGTACCTGGCCGCTCCCGGGTACAGCACATACTGCGGCGGGGCGAGGTGGGCGCTCATGGCCGGGCCGGGTGTCCCTGCCCCAAGCATGAGTGGAGATGACCGCCGAGACTGCCGGCAGCCCGAGGACAGGCGCTCCTTTGGGGGGAGATGGGGGGGACGCTTTAAATCCCCCCAGCCTGGCCTTGGCTGGATGGTATTGTCATGGCCATTGTCATGTTAAAAACTGGTTGATTGGGGGGAAGGGTCTTGGAGGGACCGGGGGAGGGCTGGGACACCGGACTGCGCTTGCCAGCTTGGCGGGGATGAGTACATCACTCCCTGCTGGGGCAGGCCAAGGAGGTCCCTGCTCGCCCCTCGGGGCAGCAGGCCCGAACGGAGCTGCCCGGAGCTGGGCAGACATCCCCCACCCCCACATTTCACAGCTCTCCACCCAAACAGAGGGAATGTCCCCGGAACCCGCCGCGGGGCATGAGGAGACTTTGTGCGTCTGCATTGCAGATCGCAGCCATCATTGCAAAGAGATAAGCCCTGCACCTCGCCGCGAGTGAATCCGGACGGGGGCAGGGGGATGGCCTCTCAGAGCCGTGTCTGTGTGTGGGGAACAGGGCTCAAAGAAAGCCGGGCTGCTGCTCCCGGCGGCTCGCCCAAGGCTGAGCCAGGCACTCCTGTTCCGCGCATTTCCCAAGCTTCTTTTCCCAGCCATTTAAGACTTTCTAAAAAGTAATATCATAAACAAAAAAATATTTTTTAAAAAAAGTTTGTTACTCAGCAGGGTGGGATGGGAATCACCGGGTCAAATTCAAAAGGAGACAAGAGCACTGCAGCTGTAAAAGAGCTTTACGGATCTTGAGGATTTGAAGTTAGGGTCTACGGCCTTCTTGGGGAGAATAAATTGTTTCCCTTGCCACCCTCCTCCCCCAGCTATTACTGATTACTTTAAGGGAATTAAAAACTTATCGGTAGGCTCTCACACCCCGGGAGTTACAAAACCTGGAAAACCACCTGGAAAAAGTACTAGTGAAGGCACGTGACGCACCAAGCAAATCCCCCACCTCCTCCAGCGCAAGGAAACCGGGCACAGGCAGGGGTGTAGCTACTAACCTGCTGCACTGCTAAACGTCTTTAGGGTCTGACAGAGAAAGGCCCCCCTTGATTTCAATTTATCTCCGCCTCCTATCTTGACTCCTAATGAGCCCCAGCTGGTCCCCTGAGCCAGAAAGGAAGGGTCCTTGCCGCCCTTACTTTTGATCACCTCCTAATTAATGATTTAGTTTCTCAGAATCCGGAAAAGAGCCAGTCAGGACTGTCAGGAGTGTGGGAGAAAGAGGTTGTAATCTCTTACAATGAAAATACCGAGGTGTGAGGGATGAGAATACCGAGGCAGAGCCTGGTCCCGAAGCAAGCCGAGGCAGCCGGGCTGCGGGTTGGGCCGGTCCCGGGCTCGCAGAGCAGAGGCACGAT